AACCTGCTTCTGTTGAGCTATCTATGTAATATGAAAATTAGAAAAAAATGCAACCACCTTATTGTAGTTACCACCATACAGCCTTCCAGTGGCCAGATACGAGGAATAAGACAAAGAGAAATGCTGCGGGCATTCATTTACTCCTTCAGCTGCAGTAACATTGTCTGTAACCTCTGCTTTATGAGCCTGTCCTTTATTTGCAATGATGAAAAGAAGATAATACCTGGTTGTGTCTGATGGAAAAGAGCCTGAATTTAAAGGACTGCTTTCCTTGTAATGAAGCCCTGTGTGACCCAATTGCCTTCATTGCTCAGCTGAATGCAAGTGCCGGTAGAAACCTTCTACCTTGAATGCATGCCCTGCCTCAGGAAATTGAGTTTGCTGGGATCCCAAGGTTCTCTGTGTGAACCAAGGAGGGACAGCCTACAAGAGCTGCTGAACTGTGTTGGTGCTGCCAGACAAGCCCTCTTCGCTCTCGCTTTGCACCAAGCTGATGTCAGTCAGAGGCTAACGCAGCCTATGTGGCCAGGCTGATCCTTGGCCTCCCCACTGAGCAAACTGACACGCGGCTGCTAAGTGCTGGCGGTGGCCATAGGTCTGTGTGACACACGCGCTTGCTGGTCATGAACTGTGCCATTTTCCCAGCTTTTACAGCAGACCATTCTGCTGTCGCTGGTTGGGGTCAGTCGGAACAAGCTGCCATTAGAGGTACTGTGCACTCTTTGGATTTCTCCCTGGCGCCATGACCTGTCCTAAAGAATGCCAGATGAGTTCACTGGCAAAGATGGGAAGGGATTCCAGGGCCTTTGGCTGTGATGTCCTTTGGGGGAATTCTAAGCTAGGCTGGTGAGAGTGACTCGGAACACTGTTTGCATAGTGCTCATTTCTTCCGCATATGACACATGCCGTGCCCTAGCGTGCCTGCCTTGTTCCAGACCCAATGCTTGTCTTGAGCCACTGCATTTACCTTGCTGAGAGCCTCATGTGGGTGGAAACCTCGGCTGATGTAAGAGGACTTTGCTCTGGTTTTGAACCTTTTCCTCTTACATGTTGAGCTGCATGGGATTTTCTAAGAAAAGATCGCACTGCGTTTTACAAAGGTTGCTAAACCCTGTCATTTTCATTTCATAGATGGTAACCCGCCTCCTAAGGAGTCTGTGTGACCTGACTGAGATCAGCCAGAAAGTTAATGGCAGAACCGGAGAGAGAAACATGACTCGCAGAATTTGTTTCGTTGCTCTGAACTACGGCCTGCCAGTGGCACAGCACTTGTCCATACACTCAGTATTTCACCACGCAAGTGCATTTCACTGCTCGTTATAACCTGAATCAATGTGTCTGTCTCTCCATATGTATTTTTAAAAAGAATCATTATCGGAGGCTTTAACTAGGAATGATTAGCTGGTTGTTACTTTTAATGCAACGGAACGCGTCTGCCCAAACAGCACATAACACTAGAAATCAACGCGTACTCAGTACTTCAGAGAAAATTGAAAAAAAATCTAACACCTTGACCAGAATAATATGTCCACTAAACTCCCTGCCATGGAGCATTGACTAGATCTGCTCCCAAGAACCTGAATCCAAAGCACACTCAGGAGGCTGTAATGCTTTGGCTTTGGTATTCTTCAAAAGAAGACCAACAGAGAGCCCGCAGTACTAAGCCCAGCCTCAGTCGAGCAGAAATAGAGGGACAAGTTACGTGTGGTTTGTTCCGCTCTGCTTTTGTCTCTAAGAGAAGCAGAAAATAAGGCTTGAACTACAGCATCCATTGCACTGCTTTCTGTGCAACCATACTGTGCTCAGTCCTGTTCCCACTAAGATACGTTGTCTAATTGAAAACATTTTTCAAGGATGACTATTTTTCCATGAAACTGTGTTCTTAGGTTAACTGTGCATGCTGCAAAACAGCAAAAATCCCCATTGATGTCTGCAGCCAAGGTAGGAGGCACCACTTCCAGCAGGTTGTGTGTGAGCCAGGCAGAAATATTCTAACCGGGGTGACTGAAGATAGCATGGTTATAGTCAAATGATGGATGGAAAAGTTCTTGTGGCAAGTAGGGTGCTTGAGGGCTTTGATATGAACATTGATTGCTGACCAAAGAATTAAGCGCTTCTGTCACTCGGCATTCTCAGTTGCGTGCACTGTTTGCATGCAGGTTTACACAAATGCATGTATATATGTGTGCGCGTGCATACACATTATCATGGATAGTACCCAGTGCATTAAATGGGAGCAGGGAAGCTCATGATGTAGAGATGACTGCTCTGTCTCCATCCTGCCAGCTCTGGTGTGGTTTGTGCATTGACTACTGTACAGATTTTTTTTTTTCCGTACAGTCTGTTTTGCCATAATTATAACAAGACTATTGTGCAGCAGAGGAATAGTTTTTTCCTAAATCTTGAGCAGCTCATTAAACCATAGCTTTTGCTCTAGTTTGTGCCTAGCCTTTACCCACATTAGTTTGGAGTGAACAAGTTTCAGGCAAAGCTCAGTACTGGGCTACAGGCGTCCCAAATGCGTCCTGACAGCACCGGTGCAATGCCGATGGATCGGCGCAATGCGGGCGCCTGCGATTCGTGTACCACAAAAAGTAATTAATGGGAAGTAAATTTTAATAAATGCTTGGGGGAGACTTTAAAAGTGGAATTAAAACAGCACTGTTTTGTAGTCTTTTACCTGAAAGACTTTGTTAATGCTGGACTACTACTGAGGATGGCAAAGAAAATGTAATCAAAACATTTTTGGAAAATCTAATAACCTAAGGTGCTGTTGTCCTTATAGGGAGATCCCCATTGTGAAGTGCAGTATTTGCAGCCTTTCTAGGGACGGAGATAACTTTTCCTGTACAGACCTTGCTGGTGGTCTTGGGTGCCAAGAAGCTCACAGACAGCTCTAACAGCTCTGGATATTGTACCAATGACATTTTTGCTTTGTAAACTCCGTATTTTGAGAAAACACAGAAATACATTTCTAGCAAGTTGGTTAATAAAGTGCCATGTATCCATGGCAGGGGTTGGAGTGTTAGAGGAGCTCCAGTTTGTACAGTGGGTAAGGGGAGCACAATGAGCCGTTATGGAGCATTTAACCTGTTCTCTAGGTTTACTTTGACCATAGAAGATAGAAAAAAATGTGTGTTTGCCTTGCAAGCCAGTACTCTGCTCATTTGTTGTGCACGGAGCCATAGGAGCCACCGCAGTGACAGAGTTTGTGCTGCCCGCGGCCGCAATGCTGGGTCCTCCTGTGCTACCATTTCCTATCCTACTGCAGTGCTTCCCAGCTCACAGTGCCATCCTTGTCTTGCATGGACCCACAAGTTCTGTGACCTGACTTGTGCCTCGGTGGCTCCACATTCAGATGCCATCAGAGTACGAATCAAATATGGTGGGTTGCAGCTGAGCTTCTCCAATAGAGCAACGTTTAGCAGTTACAAAGCCCTCATCCTTTTCAAAGCGTTTTACAAACACTATCCAGCCAATATCTGACCCTTCTCCAATCTGCATCCCCAGGCTGGGGAAACTGAGGCACGGACTCGAGCCCTGCCCTACACTGGCTGCACAACTGAGAGCGGCGCCCGGCCCTCAGCCTCCTCGATGGGACTCTGAAGCCCCGCGCAGCACTGAGTGCAGCAGGGAGGAGGTTTGGGGCACAGGGTCCCCAGTTAGCAGCACACCCGAGCCACGGGGAGAGGGGCACGCCAAGCCCTCTGTCCCCAGCCCCGGCTGTCCCTAAGCTCCTCTGTACCTCAGTCCCTCCCAGGGACAGCGCGCGTCCTTCCGCGCCGCCCGTGCGAGGTGTCTGAATGTCAAACTGTTATTATTTCAGTACCTGACTGAGAGAGGAGCAGAGACCTGGAGGTTTTTTAGGAGGGTGTATAATTAGCCGATCAGTATTATGTTACCCTGTTCATAACTTAATAACCATTTTAATACAGATGGCACACACAGGGATAATTTCCTAGGGTAGCCTAGCAGTATATTACAGAGACAGTGTGTCTGAGGGAATCTTCCTCAGCCAAGGTACATTCCAGCAGCTAATTCTACCTGCTGTTTTCAAGATGATTTGGGATAATTCCATATCATTTGCAAAATATTAAAACCCATTTATATAGGATGCCAGATTTAGAAATACACAGCCTGAGTTATTAGACATATTTTGATAAATCTGCCACGTAAAGCGCGAGACAAAAAATACCGCTGTGTTTTCCCCGCTATTTATTTTTTTCTTCCCTTGCTATAAATACACCAGATTTAAAAAAATCTGGCTAAACTCACTGTATATCAAGAGGACAAATATACTGACGTGTGCGGTTTTATCTCTGTAGGCACGAGGGAAGTCCGCGTGCATATTTACGTACACCCTGTGTGCTTTTATGGCAATGGGACTCCGTGTATTTGGGACTGCGTGCAGAAATCACATCCTTACACCCGGTGGGTTCTGGTGCCCTTTGCCAGCGCTCCCGTGCCCTTTCCCATTTCTGCAGGCACACTCGAGGTCCGTGCAGATGCACTGCACAACATCGGGGTGACTGCTGTGCCCACAACAGTGTTCCCGAAGAGTGCAGCATTTGTACACGCAGCAGGCAAGCATCAGAGCACCTCGCAGTGGATTAATACGTGACCCCAAGTGCTGCGGACCGTTTCCCCCCGTATCTATTATTTTCTGCCTGTCACACCGTTACTTTTGTCACCCCGAGCCCCTACCGACGACAGCCGCACCCCGCAGCAGGGAGCGGGCGGGACGCACGCGGTGCTGCGCCAGGCCGGGAGCGGGGCTGGGGAGCGCTGGGCGCCCGGGGCTGGCAACTCCGTCCCGAGCCTCGCTGCCGCCGGGGCCTCTCGCCCGGGAGGGCCTCCCGCAGCCCTGGCGGAACGGGCCCGGCTCGGAGCGCGGCGAATCCCGGAGCGCCCGGGGCGTGCCGGGGGAAGGACGGGGAGGGTCGCGCTGCGCGGGGCTGCGGGACCGGGGAGAGACGAGCGGGCCGCGGACTCGCCCTTACCTGTTTATGGAGGAGACGCTGGGAACCGTGTCGTTGTCGCAGATGCCCTCGGCCAGTAGCCTGTCCCGAATCTCCCAAGCGAACATGGTGGGGTTTTGTCTCTTGTACTCGGCGATTTTATCCACTACTTTGGGGGTCGCTACTTTGGGCTTGGAGCCGCCGATCACGCCGGGCTTGATGCTCCCCGTCTCGTAATACCTGCAGGCAGAGCGCGGAGGTCAGCGCCCCGCAGCGCCCCGCGCCCACCGAGCTCTGTGCCCCGGGATGCTGCTCCGCAGGGCCTCGGGCTGCGGGGCCGCCGCTTGTCGCCAGGGCTCGCCCCTGCTCTCTATTTTCCTTTTTTCTTTCTTTCTCTTTTTTTTTTTTTTTCTTTCTTTTTAAACGAGTGTAGTTTTGAGGCGCTAGCAGCGCTGGCTTATTGCTGTCCCTGCCGTGCTCTCACGCCTTTCAGGTCCTGACACCGGCAAACAAACCGGAGACCCCCGGCTGAGCGCGGGGCCGGGCCGGGCCGCGGGCAGAGCCGTGCGGCAGCGCGTCCATCCACCCCCCGCCCCACGCCTGCAGCCCCGCACGGCCCCGCAGCGCATCCCGGCAGCGCCTCTCGCCGCGTTCCGCGCTCGTGGCCCCGCGGTTCGGCCCCGGGATGCCGCGCACCGCATTTGGTGGCAGAGATTTATTTCCTTGCTCTGATGTTTATTTATTTACCCGTGCATTTGCTAAGGCCGCCTACAGACCGGTACGAGTTGGGTTTTTTGTTGATGGGTTTGGGTTTGTTTGTTGTTTTGGTTTTTTTTCTTTGTCGCTCTTCTATCGTCTTCTCCCTCCCCCCCTTTTTTTTTTTCTTCTCCCACCTCCCCTTCCCCCGTCCCTTCTCCCTCCCGCCGCCCCTCCGCAGCCGTTCCTTTCCGCAGCCCCCGGCCGGCGCGTTCTCCCTGTGCGGCGGGGCTCGGCGTGCCGGGGCTGCGGGGAGCGGAGGGAGGCGGCGGGCAGCCGCGGCGCGGGGGAGGGAGCGAGGGCTGGCGCGGTCCTTACCTGCCCAGGATCTTGCTGACACAGCCGTGGCTGACCCGCAGCTGCCTGGAAATGTCACAGGGTCGCACCCCCTGGTGAGCCAGCTCCACTATCCTTTGTCTCACCACGTCAGGTAAGGGCCTGCCGTTCACAAACACCCCCCCGAGCTGGTTCACACCCCCGTGCCCTGCTGGGGAAAGAGAAATAAAAAAAAAAACACAACAACCCACGCACCCCAGAAAGACACCGTTAGTCGGGAGCTCTTTGCCACGCGCACTGCAAAAATAATCTCCGCTCGCTGCGGGTGCGTGAGGGTGAGGGTCAGGGGAACACGGGGTGGGGGAGAGGGGAAAAAAAGGGAGAAAAAGAGGGGTAGGGAAGAAATGAAGAGAGGAAGGGAGAGAAGAAGGGAGGGCAGAGAAAGGAGGAAATAAAAAATTGAAAAAGAGGGAAAGACAGAGAGACAAAAAGACGGAGACGGAAACACAGAAACAGAGAAGGAAAGAAAGAAAGAGACAGAGAAAGAAAGAGATAGAAAAAGAAAGAAAGAAAGAGAGAGAGAAAGAGAAAGAAACAGAGAAAAGAAAAAGAGAAATAAAGAGGAAGAAAGGAGCAGAGCTGGGTGCGGGCCGTGAGGTGGCACATTGCTCGGGGCCCCGTGCATTTCCCGAGCCGCCCGCACAGCCCCGCGCGCCGCGCCGCTCCCCAGCCCGGGACGCGGAGCGGTTCCCCGGGGCCGTTGTCACCGGGCGAGGACGGGGTGAGTGCCGGCCCCGGGAGCTGGGAACGGCTCCGCTCCCGAACTCCGAAGCCGCTCGGCGGCCCCGGGCAGCTCCTGCCGCGGTCCCCCCACTTTCTACTCCGACGCTTTCCCTCTCCGTTTAATTTGCTTTCCACGATTTTCTATCGTATTGTCAATTACAGTTACCGGCGACCCCGCCCTCCCCCAGCCCGCAGCGTGTCCCCTCACAGCGCGCTGTCTCCGGTTATTTTCGGATGAGCGTTGAAGGGATTCAGACAGAAAAAGAGAAGGAGGAAAGGGCGGATGGAGAGGGAGGGCGAGAGCGGGGATGGCCGTGTGTCCCGCGGCCGGAGCTCGCCTGCACACGGACCCTCTCCCCTCTGCTTTCGATCTTCAAAAGAAAAGTCACCCAGGAAAAAAAAAAAAAAAAAAAAAAAATTGTCAGACTGTCATGAATCTTTTGTTGTTGTTGTTTTGCTTTTGCTTCCTCTTCTTTTTTTTTTTTTTTTTTTTCCCCCTTTCTTTCTCTTTTACTATATGGATTTTTTTCTTTTCCCCTCACGAATCTACATCAGTGGGAACTGGTTGAGGGAAAATTCAAAACGCTCCGTGTTTCCCCGTTTCTCCCTTTCTGGACAAAACCCTGCTCTCCCTCACTCGGGGCCACATCGCCGATTTCCCGGCTCCTCTTCCCCCGCACCGAGCAATAGCGGGCGGCTTTCCGAGCGTGCACCTGCGGCAGCCACCCGGCTGCACCGGCAGCCCGCTGATAGAGCTGTGCCGCGGCGTCCTCCCGCCCGGCCCTAACCTTGTGAGCATCTCCGGCCGCGAGATCTTTGTTCGTTCCGCACTTCGCTGAAAAATGATCTGTTTGTATTTTCGCTGAGGTTTTTTTTTTTTTTTTTCTCCCCCGCTTGTGACACTGACTTATTGGCTCTGAACTTAGTGGAAACTCTCATTGCCCTGCGATCGATCCGAGCCCTCTCGCACAAATAGAGTTTTTTCCGTCTCCCCCCCCTTCAGAAGCACCTTGCCCACCCCCCTCCCCCCGCCGCCCCTGCCCCACGGCTCAGCCGTTGGCCGCGTTCTCGTGTGGCTCTTCGTAAATTAGATGCGGGGTGCCGGAGAGGGGGGGGGAGGGATTTGCGTGCCCCCGCCGATACCCGCGGCCGTATGCCGCGTTCCTTCGTTTGTTCTGAGCCCCTCCGCACATGTTGCCTCTAAAGTTACAGGACAGCAATTTCTTCGGCAACTCCGCGATAAATAATTCAAAGGGCCTTTTAGAACTCGCATTACAAAGTATTAAAGGGCAACGGATGCAAAAAAGATTAAAAATTAATAATTCAAATTCTTGCACCGCGGCCGTGCCTCGCAGGAGCGGCGTTCGCTCGCAGTGCGCCTTGCGGGGCTCGGAGCGGGATGCGGGGCGGGATGCGGGGCGGCCCCTGGCGCTCCCCGCGGGGCGGACATCGCGCACAGAACTGCCGGGCTGCCGGGGCTCGGGCCGGGCCGGGCCGCGCCGCTCAGCGCCTCAAGCCAGGGGGGTTCGGCCGCTTACCGATCCCTACGCCTATACTGGAAATACTGCGTGGGGAGCGAATCGAACGTAGATTTGTTATTGTTATTATCGTTAGTATGAATTTAATCGGAAGCCCAAATCGCTGCCGAGTGCCACTGAGTTCCGAGCACCGAACGGCTGTGCCGTGGCTGCCGCTCCCGGCTGCCCGCCCGCTCCGAGCGCACCGCACCGAAGGCGGAATTCCTGCGGCCGCCGCGGAGCGAAGCAGCGCCGTGCGGGCTGAAGCAGCGAGCAACCGCGGGCCGCTCGGTGCGCTCCTCGGAATTAAATGCTGCGTTCGAGGCGATGTGCGCTGGAAATGATTAATTGGGAATCGGGAGGGCGGCTGCCTGCAGCTGTCCTGCCAGCGTTTGGGGAACGGGCCGTGGCTGCGTCTCTGTGCCTTCTCACGGCAAAATCGGATTTGGTAAACTCGGAGCATTTCTAATTTGTGTCTTTTCGGTTTGCTTTTGTGCAGCGGGCAGGGCGTGTCCTCAAAAGTTTCGGTGTCAGAAGTTACAAATCGCTCTCAATTATTCATCTCTTGGCTCGGGATGCTCTCAATCTCGGCCTCGTATTCGTATTTGTTCCTTAATTTAAAGCTCGGAATTATTTTCTCTCCGTGCGGTGAAATTAAAACCCCCAAACATCCCTCTCTACGCGCCCTGGCAGAGGATCTCTTCGCTTCCCTTCGCCCCCGTTTAGAGAAAGAATGCCTCTCTAAAGTGAAAACACACCGCGGATCCCTTCCCCGGGCACTAGCAGTACGTTCTAATTGCCCATCGTGGACTCGGTACGTGAGCGAGTAGGAGCCCGGCTCTGTGCAGCCCCGAGGCCGCCCGGTTCCCAGCACCACCTCGCCCCGTTTTCCCGCATCTCAGCCTTTAAACGAACCCCACGAACCGGGGCCCGGAGCCGCCACGACCGAACTACCGTGAGCGTGGAACTGCCATCTCTTTGCCTATCTGCCACTGACAGCCGAAATCGAAGCCAAACCCCACCAAATCCCGAGGAAAAAAAAAAAAAAGGGATTTCGCATCCACGAAAGGTCGCGGGCAGCCCCTGCTCCAGGCACGGCGATGGAAAAGGATAAAAACAAAAGGAGCGAGGGATAACGCCGCATCTTCCGAGGGCGGCCGGGAGCTGCGCGGGGCCGCTCGAGGCGCCGGGTCCCGGGAGCGCGGGGCGGGGCGGCCGGTGCTGCCCGGGAGCGGGCAGGGGGACCTGGGCTGGGCAGGGACTGGTGGGGAGGAACGGAGGGACGGAGGGACGGGAGGCAGCGCAGCGGAAGGAGCCGGGCTCCAGTACTCACGGTGCATTGCTGAGAAGGGGTCTGCCTTGCAGTGCATATCCATGGGGAGGCAAAGGAAGGGGAAGAAATCGGCTGAAGCCGCCGTGTCGCCTCTAAAACTCAACTTCAAGACTTAGGGGAGAAAAAAATAAGCAAGCAAACAAACAAAACAAAACAAAACAACAAAAAAAACCAAAATAACAAAGCAAAGCAAAGCAAACGAAAGCAAACAAAAATAAAACCGAAGCGAAAAGCAGACTGAGGGAGAGGAGCGAAGGAGCGGCGCCGGCCGGGCCGGGGCGCGGGGCCGGCGCTTCCCAGGCGGGCGCTCAGCGGGGGCGGCGGGGGCTCAGGGCTGGCGGCGCCGGGGGGCGGGCGGCGGGCATGGCTGGGGCCCGGGGCCCGGCGGCGGGGAGGGGGGCGGGCGGCGTGGCCGCGGCGCTCCTGCAGCTGCTGCTCGGCTCCGGGGCAGTTCGTTAAGTTGGCGCTGGAGTAGCAATCCCCGGGAAAGCGGCGAGCGGCGGCCGGGCGCGCCCCTCCTCTCGGCCGGGCGGAAGCTCCGGCGCCCGGCGGACTTGCGCCCGAGCGGGAAGTGCTTGCGAGGAGCCGGGGCCGGAGACTGGAGCCTCCTCTCCCGGTGTGTGTCTCTCTAAAAGCCGCAGCGCCCTCAGCCCCCCGCCCGCCTCCCCGGAGATGGATGACTTGTCAGACAAAGGCAATAGATTCCGACACTCTCTGATTCGCCAGCGCGCCGAGCCGAGCGCGGCGAGGAGGGCCGGGCCGCCGCTCGGCGCGGGGGGGCCGCGGCCGCCGCCGGGACGCGGTGCGGGGGCGGCCCGGTCGCCGCGGGGCCCCGGAGGGCGCGGAGAGGGCGGCCCGGCCCGGCCCGGCCCCGCCGCCTCACTGAGCTCGGCCTGCGCCGGGCTCGCCGCGATCCGTGCCGGGGCTGCCGCTGCTCGCACGGCCCCGCTCGGGGCTTCGGACTCCTCGCCGCTGCTGGAGACTTCGCTCGGTCTGGAGCGGGAAGGGGGTGTCCGCACGCATAGGGACCAGCGGGAACGGAGGGGAAAGATAACAGAGAGGAAGAGAAAGAGAGAAAGGAGGGAATAAAGAAGGGAAGAGGAAAGGAGAAAGAGAGGAGGAGTACGAAAGGAAAAAGACAGAGGCGAAGAGGGAAAGAGAGAAAGGAAAGAGGGAAAGAGGGAAAGAGGGAAAGAGAGGAAGGAAGGAAGGAAGGGAGGAAGGGAGGAAGGAAGGGAGGGAGGAAGGAAGGAAGGGAGGAAGGGAGGAAGGGAGAGAGGAAGGAAGGGAGGAAGGAAGGAAGGGAGGAAGGGAGGAAGGAAGGAAGGAAGGAAGGAAGGAAGGAAGGAAGGAAGGAAGGAAGGAAGGAAGGAAGGAAGGAAGGAAGGAAGGAAGGAAGGAAGGAAGGAAGGAAGGAAGGAAGGAAGGAAGGAAGGAAGGAAGGAAGGAAGGAAGGAAGGAAGGAAGGAAGGAAGGAAGGGAGGAAGGGAGGAAGGAAGGAAGGAAGGAAGGAAGGAAGGAAGGAAGGAAGGAAGGAAGGAAGGAAGGAAGGAAGGAAGGAAGGAAGGAAGGAAGGAAGGAAGGAAGGAAGGAAGGAAGGAAGGAAGGAAGGAAGGAAGGAAGGAAGGAAGGAAACTGAAATTAAGTTTTAAGGAAATTAAAGAAGGAAGAAAAACATAGAAGGAAGGGAGGCAAGACCTTATATCTCTTGTACGAACAGATCGAGCCTATTTCAATTATTGTAAAGTTTCCACTTGCACGTTTGAGGGGGGAGGGGGGGAAAGGAATTCAACTTCCCGCTTTCCGTATCTCTTTTTATTTTTCATTCGTTTTTACTTTTTTTTTTTTTTTTTTTTTTTTTTTTTTTAATGCTGAGCTTAAGAGGGATTTAAAAATTATTTCACAAGCTGATATGCAGCTATAATAGACGTGGCTGCGACCTAGCAAGGAACAGAGAGAGGGGAAGGAGCGCCTGCGAGGCTGAGGATCAGAGGTGGGAAGACGAGGCAGAAACTGCTGGGAGCTGAATTTTGTTTTGCAGACTGCGGGCTGATCAGCCCCTGAAATACACTTCCCCGTTTCTTTTCCTCCTTCCCCACCCCTCCGCTATCCGTCACGGAATGGTCCCTTTGTTTTCTGCCTGCTTTTAAGTAAAGAATCTCGGAGAGATCTTTATGAAATATTTTCCACCGTCTCATAAATCATTTTGGCACTTCAGCTGATGTTTTATCTTTCTGTCTCTCCACTCCCGTCTCTCTTTCCCTTGCGTGCAAAAAGGATGATTCGGAAAAAACAACAAACAGCCACCAACAAAACCCAGCAGCCCCTTTTGGGCGCCGCGGGGGCTCGATGCAAAGTGAGGCAGCGCTCTTCTCGCCCGCTCCGCGCCGCGAAGGGCCGCTCCGTGCGCAGCCGAGCCACGGAGCGATGGCCTGCGGCCCGGGCGCATCCGCGCTCCGGAGCCGTGCCGCAAGCGGCGCTTCCCGGCCCCGCCGGCTCTCCGAGCGCGGATCGGGACGCGGGGCCCGGGAGCGGCCGCAGGGAGCTCCGAGCCGGAGGAGCCGCCCGACGCGGCGCGCCCCGCGGCCGCCCCGTCCGTCCGTCCGCCCTTCCGCCGCCAACGCCTCCGGCCCGCCGCGGGTCTCCCTGCTCGGGGGCGGAGGGCAGGGCCGGGCCGCGGCGGGGCCGGGCGCAGGTGCGGGGGCAGCGCCCGCCGCTCCCCGCCGCCGCCTGCAGATGGCGCCCGGCGGTCGCTCGGCGGCGCGGGGAAAGTTCGGGGCGGCTCCGGGACCGCACCTGCCGGGGGGCGGCGAGCCCCGTCCCGCGCCGGCGGCGTGCGGGTAGGAAGGAGCCGTGCGTCCGTGCCCGCGGCCCCGGCCCGAAGCCGCCCCTCGACCTTCTCCCGCGAGAGGGCTCGGACTCTTTTCTCCCTCCGGCTCCCGCCCTCGCTTCCTCCCGTCCGCCTCGGCCCGGGGTCGAAGGGGAAGGAAGGACCCATTGGCGGCTCCGGGTGCGAGGGTGCGGTCTGCGGCTCCATAAGCACCTCGATCCCGGTCCCGGGGCCTCCACCACCGGGTTGCGACGCCGTCCGCCACCCGCGCGGCCACCCGCACCCGCGGTGCTGCTCCATCCCTCGCCGAGCAGCACGGGTGCTCCCAACTGTTGATCTCTCTCTCAGGGCACGTATTTTGCCGTGGCCTTTACACTTCTATCTCTGCGTCCCTGCGTCGGTGAGGAGGGAAGCCGGAAAGAGTCTCGACAGAGAGCAGTTGGAACCATGAGGTCTGCGGCAGGACAGGGAGAATGGGCCCAGTGCATCTGGGTGGGTGTGTGTGGGAAGCAGAGGGTGGAAGACAGAGAAACAGCAGGCAAAAAAGTAACAGGGGGAAGGAAAGGGAAGGGAAGGGAAGGGCAGGGCAGGGAAGGGAAGGGAAGGGCAGGGCAGGGCAGGGCAGGGCAGGGCAGGGCAGGGGAAGGGAAGGGAAGGGAAGGGA